CAATTTTTTCTAAATATTTACAAATTGCATCAGTGGTTCCAGTTTTTAAAAACTTTGGAGAACATAACTCCTCCAACTATTGTCCAATTAATCTAATAAACCTTAAGGTTCTATTCTTATCTACATTAATAATCTTCTTGAAAACGTTATACCTAAAATGGCTCTATTTTATGATGACTCAACTTTATACTCCAGTCTTGAAAAAAAAGGTATTTTTTTTTTGGTCTTATAACAGGGAGCCAATCTTAAATCTGATCTCACTATAGCATATTCTGTAACAGAGATAGGCTTGTGAAATTTAACTCTAAAAAAACTCTTATACTGTTTTTTTACTGCAAACAACTATTGCAATACTCTCAACATTCCAACATCGATGTCATCAATAAATGATGAATAACAACCCTCTCGCTGAGTCCTTTTCCTTACATCTTCTGGGATTATCATTTGCAACTGACCACTCGTGAAAATCATATATACAGTTGATTGGAAAATTAGCATCTGTTAAGGTTGCTTCTCTTTAATTAGCTTGCCATTTTCTTAAACCTAATTCCATTCTGTACCTCTACAATCTTCTCATGCACCCCTGTAACGAAAACTGTTGTCATATTTGGCTCAGTTTTTCTAATGATGTTCTTTCTCCTTTTAGACAAGGTACAAAAACGCATTGTAAACATAGTCGGACCTGCTTTATTTACAAAACTTGAGCTTCTCTTGTTGTCATAAAATTGCATTTCTATCTCTTTTCTATAAATATATTTATTCTGTTAATATACTTTTAATATAATTTTTAATATTTTAACATTTAAATTTTAATAATTTCTGTTTATATGCTAAAAATACTTTTATTCTGTTAAAATATTTATATGCATTGCCTTTTTATTTAAAAAAAGGTATTAATAATGCATGCACATACACAAAAAATGTTTTTATACGCATACACATGCAATATTTTTAGTTTAAACTCCTAACAGAAAAATTTATTTATGCATTAATTTGATTCAGACAACAAATACTGTACAAGGTCTATTGTTAAGATTAAAAGAATAATAGTAATAAAAAATAATTAAAATTTCAATTTAATCTATACACAGGTGCATTGCTTCTGACACAGGTAACTAACTGATTTATAAGTCTGTAGTTACGCAATAAAGTATCTAGATTCATAAACATATTTGTAGCGCTTGAGTACTTCCCAATAAGAAAAATGACGTTGGTACAACGTTATTCCAACGTCTTCCGGATCGTTAGAAAGACGTTGGCATGATGTTATAAATGAAACAGCGGAAAGACGTCATTTTGCTAACGTTGTTGCAGCGATGTAAAATGACGTTGTGACAACGTTACATTCGAGCTAAATGACGTCGGAAAGGCGTTATAACAACGTTAAATTTTAAGAAAAAAGACGTTATGAAGACGTTGTGCAAACGTTGTATTTTGAGCAAAATGACGTTGAGACAATGTCTATTCTATCGTTGTTTAGACGTTGGAATAATGGCTGAAATAAAACATAGGCTAACGTTATTTTGATGACGTTGGCCAAACTTTATAAGAAAAACAATCACTAATGTATTTCTAACATTTTCACGATGTTATTTCTACAGTGGAAAGAGCAATAAAGCACTATGTTGCACTGTATAACGTCGTGCTGTGATGTTTTTTTTCCTTTTATTTATTTAGGTCATACATGGCAACTATATTAGTCCAGGCAACTAATTGAATATGGAAATTAAAAGACTAAAAAAGAAAAATAAACTTTACAATACTTCTATTTCAAAATTTTAAAATTATATACATTAACTTAGAGTGAAACTAGTTTGATTTTTACATTCTTTCCAAACTTCTAGCATATCTCAATTAATTCGTGTATTCTTTGTTTGACACTAAGAGATAAATTCATATAAATAAACAGTTATAAACAAATTTAATTAAAAGCATTATCAACAAACAAAAAACATTCAGAAAGAACAAATAGAAAAAACTAACATAAATACCAGAAATTGATCTAACTTTTTATTTGATGCTCACCTGAGTTTTCCTTTTTTTGAAAAATTATTGACAGAAAAATTTTGAGCAAAATCCTTTGAAATAGAAAAAAATAACTTTATTTCTATTATAACTATCAAAATAAAATTTTTTAAAATAACAAACTTTTATAAAACACCTTCTAACATCCTAATTGAAACACTCAAATTTTCAAAATTTGAATGTTTCAATTAGGATTTTAATGAAATGTTAGGACGAAAATTAATTTTCGATTGAAAAATATCTAAAATTAAATAGAATTTAACAAAATGTCATTATTAAATATATATTCAACATAAATGTTGAAATAGTAGGGAATATATTTACCATATATGATTCTCAATAAACTGCATTCAAAAACTAATGCAACTGACAATAAAAAAAAATTTAAATAGATAAATCAAACAAAATTTATTCAAAACACACAATCATGACATAATGGAAAAACAACATTTCTTGTTCTACCCTTAAAACTAATAACTTTGCGTTTGAGTTCAGTTTTTTGAACAGTTTTTCTTTTTACAGAAGCATTTTTTGGCACAGGTAATATTTTGTTATATCTTGAACTGCATGGTACAACAAAGAAGTCATTAAAAAGCCGACATGGAATTATTTCACAAAGTAAAGAATCGAAATTGATTTCAATAACCTGTGCCAACTGACCACTTTTCAAAAAAAACCAGCTATCTTTACCACCAGGGACTACTTTTGATTTGTGTTTTTTTCTCAAAAATTTATCATCTAAACAATCTATTTCTCCTAAACGCTTGACAATTTGAGCAAGTGGCATGTTCTTACCACGAACCAATCTTTTCAGACGCTGCAAATAATTTTCAAACGAAAAGACAGACATATCAAGTAGGGTCATTTGATATTTTATAACATCTTCAGACAAATGAATCAGGTTATGAACATTTTATGTAGTAAATGTTGGACCATAATAATCTACAGATTTAGATACAAACCAATTTAACAGCATTGATGCATAGCCAATGGCATTAGAACTAGAATTATTGTCATCTAACACACGAATATCAATACTAAGACAAAGAAAATGTATATAAAGATCATGTTTTAATACATTTTTCAATACATAGGGACCAGTATATATAAGAAATGAACGAAACTCTGTAGCTTTCCATCTTTTAAACTCTCCTAGTGATCTAGGCTGTCTGACAAAATCAGATGGCATTTTACCAGATAAGTCATTTAGTTTTTCAGTTATGCGGTTAATTTGGACATATGACAAACGACATATATTTGGTCCCTCTGTCCAAAATATTATTAGTCGTCAAACAACCCCAAGACAAACTAAATGCATATAGTCTAAAACAAAGGTAGAAACACAAGGTAAATTAAAATTAATCAAAGGACTTCTAGATACTTGATGATCTTTATAATACATTTTAGAAAACTGTTCGTCTGAACGAAGAATAGAATTAACCTGATTAAAAACAACTCTTCCTTGCCATTCACCCTTGTCAATACATCGTTCACAGCCATGGTAAGCATTGTGTGGCTTTATACATTTAATAAAAGCACGTGCCGGAGCATCACATGTTCAAAACTTTAAACTGACATTAAAAAACTTATCTTTGTAAACAAGACCATTTTCTGAAAGCATTTTAAATTCCTCCAAAAACTGCCTGAAAACTCCATAGAAGACATAGGTTTTTGTTTGCCACAGAAAAAAGCAACAGGAAACGGAGGTTTAGAACCAAATTGACAAAGTAAAGGCCAAAGCTGAGTATTGCTAGATTTAAAAAGCGGCAGACCATCTAAATTTACTATTAAATGTTTGTTGTTATTGATACTTGCTTCATCACCTTGGAGCATATTTTTAATACCAGTAGCTAAACCTAGATAGATATAGTCACCAGAGCACATATTTTCAGTAAGCACACAATTAGGCGTTTTAAGTTAAGTTTTAGAATTTTTTGGTAAGTCCTTGTGTCCGTGTTTTTGCAACAAAATAAGCAAATCATTTAATGAAAAATGTGTAACTGCATGCTTAACCGCCCACTGAGCAAGATCATATGCCAAGTCAGGACAATGTTTAGAATGAAAAGACTCAAAAGAGTTACTAAAATCATCACTTGTTGAAGAGAGTTCAGTTATTGGTAATGTAGAATCACTTTCAAAATTATCAATACTATTATGAATTGGACTAGAAAAAAACTCACCAGTTGAACTTTGATAATTATTATTTTCTAATATACTGGCAATCAAAGAATTAGTCTTTCTACATATTGTAGACCTTGATGTCATTGAATATCTTTGTATTTCTTATCTATAATACTCATAAAAAAAAGAATATATATATATAACAATTAATTTATATAAAAATTATATAATTTTGTATAATTAATATTTTATCATTAAATGTTGCTATTTAGTATAAAAACACAAAATATTACACAAACTGTTAAAATTTAAATAAAGCATTTGTAACTTTTTAGAAATAAACTTTCATCATAAGAATCTTAAAAAAATTGTAAGTAAAAGATGATTTTGAAGCATTATTTAACCATTGATTTAATTTTTATATTGATTAATATTATTATTTATAATCTATCACAAATAATAAAACAAATAGTAAATCTTTTAAAAACAGAACTATATTTATGTTATTCAAAACAATGATCAAAAAATGACACATGATTTAATAATATATGGTAAACTAATTTAAAAGATCTTTAAAGTTTAACAACTTAAGTTTTAAAATTCACATAATCAAAAAAAGTTTTTTCTTCTTAATATTTATTCAATATTGTGTTTAAGAAATTCAAAAGAAATGTAGAAAAATAAAGACTTTATTATATTGAAGTAAAAAAAAAAAAAACACTCAGTGAAAAAATTATATAAAAATTGTGTTTTACTGGCTTTTTCTGCAAAATTCAAACTGATAGACATGACATCATTTCTGGTGCTTGTCCGAAGTGTTTTCCGGTTTTTACGATCTGCAGCATATTTTAAATGGTTCATCACTTCTATTCGTACTTCTGAGCTGGTAGCATTCGGAAAGACATTAAATACTGCTTCTAAGATAAACAATTATACAAAAAAAGTATAAGGATGCAGTGTTAAGATAGATTAGTATATTATATTGGGCAGACGTGTATTTCAGGCACCCTTCATTACTAAGTCTGTAAAAAAGTTTATATGAAAAAAATGTTGAAAACCATACCCTAACCAAACCCTAGCCATGACTCTTAGGATTAGGCTCAGCGTTTGATTAGGGAATGGCTTTCAAAAAAATAAACTTTATTGTTGGCTTCAGGGTAAAAGTATAATTTTCAATAAATGTTATATGTTAAACATGACTCGTTTTTTACGAACTTACTAAAGGGGGTGTCTAAAATTCACGTCTGCCAGATACTGTAACAGCAATAATGCTATTTAGGAAAATGTTATTTAAAAAAACAACAACCTATAAACAAACTCACTATTTATTACATTATACAACAAAGTTATTTCAAACTTAAGCTTTCCTTTTAAACCAATCATGCTGAATTTTGTCTGAAGATCATTTGACATCAATCTTAGATGAAAATAAATAAAATAACTAAAAGATATCATTTAGTAATTTATGCTGTTTCTAACTTAATAGTAATATGAAGTAAATGTAACATATAAAAATCAAATTTTAAAAACACAAAAATTACCTTTGAATTAGGTCCTTAACCATATATTTAGGTGACTTTCCACCAACACGTGAGAGTTGTTTAACCTTAAATAGAAAAAAAAATATCAGCCCAATTGAAATATTTCACATAAAATTTTTTATATAAGTGTAATAAATTTTTAAACACTTTAATAAGTTAATAATACTTAAGTTATAGTAATGCTACAACCTAAATAGTTTAAAAATAAATAGAATATATATAACGTGACATTAGTTGCAAAAGCAATTGATTAATAATCATTTTATCGTCCATCTTTTTTTCTCTAAATTGCTTTTAAAAATATTAAAATATAACTCACAAATTCTTGTGCAAAACTATTATCATGCATTTTAAGTTCAAATTTATTCAAATCTTCTAATGTCAAGAATTGAGTTGGAATTTCTGCACTTAAATTATGTGACAATGTACTTTTGGGTTGACATTGTAAACATGTTTTAAGTTCACTCAGTAACTTGATGACTTCATACTGGAATTCTGCACAAAAAAATAATTCATCTTTAATTGTAATACTTTTTAAATATAATATGCCTCCATAAAATAATTATAATAACTGACTTATATAAAAAATAAAATAAAAGTATATTATGTATAATATTTTTTCAGTATGTACAAATACTGAAAAAAAAATCTACACACTTTGATCACTCATTGGAAAGTTATTTCTGTTAATAGCCAGAGTAGAATGTTCTTTACTTTTTGGTAATCCACAAGAGAGTCCACTCTGTGTTTCAATTTTCTCTGATTGTAAAAGAGAACAATAACCTGGTCTTCTTTTACTTTTACTCTGAGGAGATAGTGAACAAGAACTACTGGAAGATCGAGAGCGTGATTTCCTTGAATTATGGGATTTTGATGAACTTTGAAAACTAAATACTGACTGGGTAGGTTGATTCAAATCAATATTTACTTTATTCTGACTAGCTTCTTGTGAAAGATTTAGGTGTTCTTTTTCTGATTCTGGGGTAAATGCTTTTTTATTTCTAAAACCTGATTTGATTTCAGGCTTTGAAGGAAGTGTACTGCAAACTGTTAAAAAAAAAAAATTGAAAAATAAATAATTCAATAAAAAAAAAATTTGATTTAAAAAAATTAACTCAAAAAAATTAATTTCAAAAAATAATTAAGTAAACAAAAAAATTTAAAAAATAAATATCAGAATACTATATAACTTAATATGCAAACACAAAAAATTACTTTTTACCTTATTTTGCAACTTGAGACATATCTTTTTTAAAATCAAAATCACAAGAGTCAGTATCAGTTGTAATATTATATGAATGGCAAGTCATAAAATCTTTATCAGTTAATTTAATTTTGAGAACTTGAAATTTAAACCAATTATCTTGAGGTTCAACCTGGTCCCTTAACTTTTTTTCAGCCCTTTTTTTGGCCATCTCAAAACTTTACCATTAATCCAACTTAAAGGAACAGTGTCAGAGTAAACCTTGTCTTCTTCAAGCCACTTTACACGACACCATTCAGACATAATAGCACACTACATAATGGTAAAACAGAAAAAAAAAAAATTTTTTTCAGAATTATATCAATAAAAAAATAATTTTAAACTACTATCATATTTATATCAGTAAAGTTAAAAAAATGAATAATTTAAAATTATTTATCAATATGAAGTTTTGTAACAAATTAGGGGAGCGTGGTCTAATACGGGCCCCTTAGCATAAAAGTTCATTTTTTCCCGATATAGATACCAGTATTGAATGCCTAATGCAAGAATAGCATAACTTAGATGACAATGTAATTAATGGGTCATAATCAGTTGGATTAATATAACAAACTAATTAATTAATCATACTTTTAAAACTTGTGATTAGGGGCCCATTTTATCCCATAGCTAAGCCTAAAACGGGCCCGGGCCCATTTTAACTGGCCAGGTTAAGATGGGCCCCGGGCCCGTTTTAACCTTGTGCTCTGTCAGTGACAAAATCAGATCAGAACATTATTCAAATGATAACTTGTTAATTTTGCGTCTACGCTATCAGGATACTATCATGCAATAGCAAGATCTGAACAATAAACAACTCATCATTTCAACACAAAAACTAACTATTAAGCTATTAATAACGATGAATACATTTCACTTCTGCAGCTTCGTGAATAGGTTTTACAGTTAGATCTATTCATGATGAACAGTTAGCAATAGAAAGTTCACGTTCAAACGAGTAGCATGTGGTGCTACTCACAACATTGAACACATAAAAAGTAATCGTCATCAAATACTCCATTCACTTCTGCACACGATTCATGGTACCATGTCAGACAGGTTTTGCATGAAATCCAGTCACACGCCTTCACCTTATCCTCGACAGATTTTTCCATGATTCCACATTCTGGACAAACTGATTGGATAGGCCCAGTCTGTTTCACTCCTCTTTTTTGGTTTGTATTTAGTGCAGATTTAGGCTTCTTTTCTTTCGTTTTGCTAGTCTTCTTGTTTTTTTCTGCTGCCGCAAGAGCTTTTTTCACTTTTTTAGCCTCCATTGCAGCTATCTTCTCTTCAGCCAAACGCTTTTTTGTTTCTAAGCCTTGCTTGTAAGGACTGGCAGTCAAAATAGCAGTTTTACCTTTCGATTTCGATGTTTTGCGAATGCTGCCCACTTCCACTTTTGGTAAAGGCAAAATTTGCAAAACACGGACTTTAGGTTTATGTTCAAGAGCGTTTCGACAACCAACAGCTGTTGGTGTATTTAAACCGACACCGTCAGCATCACAGGGTTTTTGCAGAACTGGCTCGACCAATCTTGGTGAAGATGAACTGTCACCAACTTGTGCCTCTATCAACTCTATTGTTGTCGGAGAAACTAAAGAATCAACATCACCGCCACCGGGTTGCTGTAGAACTGGCTCGACCAATGTAAGTAGAGAGGCGATGTCACCAACTTGTCCTTCTGTCAGCTCCATTGTTATCGGAGAAATAACCTGAAGAATTAACTGATCAACATCATCGAGTTGCTCCATGCCTGACTCGTGTGATGTGGGTTGAGATGCCCCTTCACCAATATGCCGAATTAGTGGTTGTGACTGCAACACTGGTATCTGAAGAATCTCAATAGGCATGCCAGTTTTCTCTATAATGAGTTCAACATATTCGCCTGTTGGTGAAACTTCACCAGCAACCAACTCTGTATTGCTGCCAGTTGCTTCATGTTCCAATCTTGGAATATCTGTAGGCAATGAAGCAGCAAAGTCTGCATCTTGAAAGACATCACGATTGATTGGCCATATACCAGTTTTTCTAAACCCATTGACTGCAGTCAGAGCACTGGCTGCACGAAGATAAGCCTCTCGGAAGAGCGCAGGTAATTGCAGAGTAGTCACTATTCTACCTGGGTGAACAAGTAACCACTTCTCAACTTCTTGAGTGTAATACGTACTGAGTGTTTTCATCAAGCTTACGTCTAATGGTTGTAGCCGATGGCTGCAATGAGGTGGTAAACATAGGAGAGAAACACACTTTTCACGAGCAAGATTGATAACATCAAGATTTAAGGTGTGGGTTTTATGTCCATCAAGGATCAACAGTACTGGTGAATCGGCACACGAATGACTGTGATATACAAAATGTTCAAACCATTTCAGAAACAAATCAGTTTGCATCCAACCAGACGGATGGGCTACACCGATGGATCCTGGTGGTGCAGCATCAAGTAACTCAGGCTTCATTCGGCATCTCGGAAACACAAGCATAGGAGGGATGAAATTACCTGATGCACTCATGCATATTTCCACTGTCACTAACTGACCACGTTCTGCCGAACTCAAGCTGCCAACTTGCTTCTTGCCCCGAGCTGCTATCACCTTGGAAGGTCTGTTCGGCACAGTTGTGAAACCAGTCTCGTCACAGTTGTATACCCTGTCTGGACTATAGTGGTGCTTTGTCTGTAACTCAGTGAGCAAATCAAAAAACTGGTCAACAACAACTTTGTTGAAGCCTTGTGCCCGTGCCGAAGAAGTTGGCTCTGGCATTCTTAAAGACAGGTCTGGATGTCGTGACATAAATCCTCTATACCAGTCCAGACCTGCTTCTTCTTTGACAGAACTGAATCTTTCATGGATATTGTTACTTTTCGCTAGTTGATATGCGAGTTTTCGTAAGCGCTTAGGTGTGAAACCAAAAAGCATACTTTCCATGGTTTTTATATGCTGAACAAGTTCCAGTTCAGTTTCCGTATCGAATACATTGCACCTTGAGCCGAGTCTTTTTGCAGCTGCTGCTCCACTTGCTAGACTTGACTTGTATCTCCGCTGAAGTGTTGAACGGGGTACGCTGAAAAGTTTACAGGCTTTCTTTAATCCCATTGTTTTTGTACGTAATGCTTCAATTGCTTTGACCATACCTGTCTCTGACCACGTTTGTCTTTCAGTTGTTCTTTTATACCGTCCCATTTTATTGAAGAAGCTGAAACAAAGCACAATACAATTACATAATGTGCTATTAATCTGTAATAATAGTAGATTATACATTAATTTGAAACATTCAAAGACATACACCCTTGATTAATAGTACCATTAATTTACTTTAAAACAACAAGAAAATCAAAAGAAATTATTTTAATAACACACCAAATTTATTTAAATAAGCACACTTTTAAACGACTTTTTTATGTTGATATATCCCATAATGCAGTTTAAACTTAGTTATATTTTACATAACAGATTCAGACAAATTTATAATTTGAAGACCTCTCATTAAACAATATTACATATGAAGTTCATAGTATGAACTAGATAGGTTTGTAGTTGTTCAAAACGGTAACTAAGGCGTTGCTAAGGAACTATTTGATAATATACCTAGGTAAAAAGTTAAATATCACAAAATATACAAAACAAAATGTAGAATATTTTCTATCAGAAAAGATGAAAATAATTTTTCTTAAAAAAAATAATTTATTCACATTTATTTTGTGATGAACCACCTTAAGAAGTCAATGCCTGCATTAGCTGTCTAAAACGGGCCCTTTGGTCTAAAATGGGCCCATAGCGGGCCCGTTTTAGACACTGATAAGGCCATTACAAAATCCTCATGTTGTAACGTTCTGATAAAAAACACATGAAATCGCTCATTTCCTGAGTAATCGTAACAAAAAAACAAAAGCAATAGTGCCCTACCTTGTAACTCGATATGACGATATGACTTGTAGGTCTGTGATTTCGTAACGTCAAATAAAACAAGAGAAATTGATATAATTGATTCGACACGTTTTTACAAGACCCTGTCAATTATTAACGCAATGTAAACAATCATGCATATTCATTAAACTAAGCTGGTTCTATTTGCATTCAGAGTCACCGAAAAAATCCGCTTGGTGTCGTGCCAATCGTGGGGCCCGTTTTAACCGAGGGGCCCGTTATAGACCAATCTCCCCTATTATATAGAAAAAACAAAATATTACCTTTACAAGGATTTATTAACCTAAATAATGTTATAATGTACTTTTTATGAGATTGTTTTTAATGTAAAAGAGAAAACAATAATGTTGAGAATACAAACACTATGATTTTGTTTTCTTCGTCCAGCAAGTTATAAAAAAATAAAATGCTAATCTTCAAATAAAAAGTAGCACTATATATGTATATGTACATATATTAATAGACACACATTATGGTTGTTAAGGTCTGTCTAAGTTATAAGGAAGATAATTACCTTGTCTGGAACTAATTCCACAAGGAACTGAAAATAGCATAAAATTTCCATAAACAAATAAATAATTTATCATGTATTAATATAATTGAACTAAAATGTCAAATAAATAGTAAAAATATCAAATAAATACTCCATCTAACTAAAATAGTAACTCCAACTAACTAAAATGTCAAATAACTAGCATTTTATTTCTTGAAAAAAAGCCAAATTAAACTATTTATATACCCATTATTTTGTTATTTATTTGTTAATAAAAACTTAATGTTCTTTTTAATTCCTTGTGCACTAGAAAAAAAAGTTTGAATTTTATTTTAAATCATCTCAGCCTAAGAACATTCTAAATGCAGAATTTTCTCAGACTAAGTTGATTTAAATTAAATTTTTAATCAAAAATAAAATGTATATATATATATATATATATATATATATATATATATATATATATATATATATATATATATATATATATATATATAAAGTGTAAAATAAGTTTTAATGTCAATCAGACTAATGTTTTTTTGATTTTCATAATAACATCTGCAATGTCAAAAATAAAACAACATCTGAACAATGCTGGTTGTTTGTACAACCAGCAATGTTCAAATGTTGTTTTATTTTTGACATTGCAGATATTAGTTGACAACATTTTTCTGACGTTTAACAAAATTAACATTTTGTTAAACGTCAGAAAAACTGCAAAGATTTTGTTTATTTTATTAACAAAATCTTTGCAGTTGGTCATAATGCCCGTAATGTTTTAAACGTAAATGTAATACATAAAAATATAGTTGACAAAATATAAAAGTTACCTTTGCATATCTAAAAAATACCTAAAAAGGAAAAAAAATACCTAAAAAAGGAAAAAAATTATAAGGCACATTAAAATGTTTTACACATAACATCTTAAAACATGTTGTTTTTTTTTTTACTGCACCATGGACAACATTTAAAAAAACCAAATTTTGTTAACAAACAGTTAGAATTGAATAAGTAATTCTGATTGAATGATGGCAAAACCATAAGTACAAAAATATTTTTATCCAATTAATTTTTTAATAAAACAAAATTTTAAAACATTTAAATTATTCAATAACATTTAGTTATACTGCACCCACCCTAAAACACTAAAAAATATTGTTAAAATAATAAATAGGCTGGCATAAGTTGTAACAGCAAATAATTTACAGTCAATTAATTATCCAGCTTTTATTTTTTAAATCTTGTTAAACATGTTAAAATATAACTCATAAACCTTATACAAAACCTTTGTTACCCAGTTTTCTTAGTGTAAATTCATTCAAATCTTCTATTGCTCAACAGCTGAGTTGAAGTTTTTAAGATGTGGTGATGTATTTTTGGGTTGACTTGTGTTAATTTCACACAACTTAATAACTTTGTACTGGAACTCTTAACACATAATAATAAATAACAAATAACAGTATTCAACAAAAAATATTTTTTAACATTGCATGTAATTTATTGGAAAGGTTAAAATTAGCTCTTTGTTTTAAGTCTGAAATAAGAGAAATATGAGATTTTAATTGGTTCAAACCAATATTTATTTATCATGACTAAGTTCGGCTTTAAAACATAGGTGTTCTGTTGCTTTTTCTGTATGATATGCTTTTCTATTCCTAAAATCAGATTTAACTTTAGGTTTTAGAGTAAATGCTTTGCCAAGTGCTGAAAAAAACTAATATCAAATTATTAAGTAAAAAATTAAAAAAACAAATTGAATACCTTAATATGTGGTAATAGTGTAGTGGCAAAGTGCTTGCTTTATAAGTGAGAAGTTTGGAGATCAATCCTCAACACATCCCTGGTAGTAAGGCTTTTAACTTATTTTACTGCTCAGTAGTCTTGTATGTCAAGTACTGTGTTTTGGAGTTGAGAGAGGGTTGCAACCAGGGTTGTGAAGTCGGAGTGGGAGAGTCAGAGTTGTGACATTTGTAGCAGAGTCACTAAACAAAATTGTGACTCCAACTCCAATAGTAAAACTTCTGGGTATTGCACGTGCATATATAAAACATTTAACGTTCAAAGAATTTTTCATATATTTGGCAAAAAAAAAAATTTTATATTATCGCGTAATATTCTTTTTAAGAATTCAAAGAATTTTTCAAAAATTTTGCTTTGAATTTGGAGTTGGAGTCTTTCTCTGAAAGTTTCAACAATTGTAGTCAGAGTTGTTACTTTTTTTTTACAACTCCACACCCCTAGATGCAACAACAATCAAGCATCCTTAACTGTAGAGACCCTCTCAGCCATGGGGAGGTAAATATCAATAAAAAATAAATCAATAAAAATAATATGTAAACAACTAAAAAACTAATTTTGATCTTTTTATGAAACTTGAGACTCAAAATCTTGTGAGTCAGTATCAGTTATAATATTATAGGAGTAGCATGTGATAAAGCTTTTATCAGTAAATTTAACTTAAGAATCACTTAACTTTTTTTTCCGTTCCTTTCTTTGGGCATCTCAAAATTTTCTTTTTGACTCAACCTAAAGAGATGATGTCAAAGGAGACCTTGCCTTGCACAAGCCACTTTAAATGACACCATTTAGATATAATAGCAATTCATTATAGGGTATCAAAGAAAAAATAAATAAATTTTTTCAGAATTAAACCAATAAAAGGAAATTTTAAATTGATTATAATTCTGTATCAGTTTACTTCAAAAAAATGAAAAATTTAAGTTTAATATAAGCATTTATTATATAACTATGTATTCTTTTCAAAAAATAAAATAATCTTTAAATAGCTTAATAAATGTATTTACTAAAAGCATTTTTTAATGTTTAAGTCTTAAACATTAAAAAATGCTTCTTAAATTACGAAAAATACAAAAGTGATAACAATACTAATTCTATAATTTTGTTTTTTTTGTTTTTTTGTTTTTTAAAACAAGTTACAAAAAAAAAACTAATCTCTAAACAAAAAAATACTACTATAAAAATTCATACAAGAAACACATTAAACAAGTTATAAGAAAGGCTATTAGGTAAGTTCTAGTCTAGAATTAGTTCCACATGAAACTAAAAATAACATAAGATAATATATAAAACAGCTGAATTAAATGTCATAAAAAATGAACTCTATTTTTATTGACATTTAATTAAACTAATAACTAGTTTAATAATAGGTATTTAGAATATCATTATTGCATTAGTTATTTTCAAATTAAATATTATGTTTAATACTTTATATATCAGAAAATTTTACTATATAATGTTAAATATACAAAAGCATAACAAAAACGTTTTTGAATAGTTTTGAAAGTCAAATAAAGTTTTTGTAACTTTATTTTCTCATGACAATGTTTAAAAACTACATATATAATTCTACTAGAGAATATAAAAAATAATGTAATAAACATTAGTATTTCAGATCATAATGCCTAAAAACCAGATTAAAAATAACATTTTCTTCATTAACGGTTTTTCAACCATTTTAAAATGTGCAAGTTTTTTTTGTGCTTATGTTGCTTTGATGACAACGTAAATAAAGCAACGTTGTTCCAAAGACGTTTTAATGTTAATCAGGCTAATGTTAAATAACCAACGTTGTTCCAACGGCGTTTTAATGTTGACACTTAAGACGTTAGATGATAACGTTTTTCCGAAGTTGTTCCAACGTTTGTTAGACAACCTTAGAATAACACCGTTATGCCGACATTGTAACAAACGACGTTGTAATCGTTGGAATTTAGTTAACTCGCGTCGCGACCAAAATCCAACCAAATTACAACAACGGCACGACGTCTTTTTCTTACTGGGTTGTCATATCCAAAAATCATTTTAACACATTTCTTGTAACAAGAGTCAAAAAGGAGCAATTAGTTCAAAATTGTCGACGCATGCCAAAAGATTCAAAAAAGTTCATCTATGTTAAATCCAATATGCGTGTTCGTAATATTGAAAATTAGTGTTCTTATATAAAGTATAAACAAAAATGGTGAAAGAATTCCATCATGACGCACACCATTGCTATGTTAAAGCTATCAGAGTTTACTTTCTGCCATCTGACAAACATAGCTTAACTCTTAAACCAAGATACAAGTAGACAGAAATTTTTTTTGCCAATACCCTGGTCAATTAATTTCAAAAACAGTTTCCAATAATTAACGCTATTAAAAGCTTTGTTGAAATCTATAAAGCATGTGAATACATGGCTTCTTCTAGAAATATAGTGTTCAACTGTCTTTTTTTAAATACTATATACAAGACATTGTAGAATAATTTACAAAATTTAAACGGTCATTTTATTTTTTCATAGTTGGTGGGTCACTATGAAAAAATTCAAGTCAAATGTATTAACGGTTCAAAAAGGTTTAACAATTATGAACTTACTTAGATTGAACCCGCTTCAAATTGAGGGGAGTTCAAACTAAGTAAGTTCATAATTGTTAAACTCTGAGAGATTTTACTATGAAATTTAAAATTTATCGTTGAATATAAATCTAGTTAAGAATAGTACAAAAAATATTTTATCAATTTGTTGCTCTCACGTTTAAGGCAGGAAGAGGGCAAAAGTTTACAACTTTCTTGTTTCCAGCCTCCAATCATTGCATTTTTTTGCAAAGCCTCATTATTTGGCGTTAGTATTAAAATATAAATGTTTGAAGTTTGCTTCATTACTGGAAGTTACTTATCTCAAACAATAAAAAATTCTGTTTTCGTCTCTGGTTGCAGCTATAGTGTAATAATTAAGTAACGTATTTAATACAATAAAGATATTTTTTTTAGTAATTGTTTTTACTTAACATGATAATTAAAAAAGTAAGAGTATAAAGCAAACATAACATTATTTAAATCACTATAGAAAACAGTTTAATACGTTTATGCGATCTTTTATAATTCAAATATTCTAGAGCTTCGCTTGACTTAAAAAATGAGGGGTCATTTAGCCTTTGAAGTTAAGCGAATCAAAGGATATTGAACTTTTTGTAGTGAAAAAATTGATGATATTTTAACAAAAGGTATTGAGCTTAAGTATGGAAAATTTTCTTATGGCACCGAAAATGAGAGTAATATTGACTTTTTAACAACTTTTGAATTGTTAATATATTTGACTTGAAATTTTCCATAGTTTTTTATTTTTTTTTATTTCCCACCAACTATGAGTAAATAAAATTCCAAAATCTTTTTTTTTAAATCTGTCAGGATTGACCAGAATCATCTATTTTACAGACTGAGGGTTTTTACTAATTTATATATTTTAGGGAACATACTGACTTTTAAATAGCTTTTGAACCTTTATTGCATTTGGCTTAATATTGTCCGCAGAGATCAAACAAATATAAAAAAACAAAAAACCACGATTGTCCGGAATCATCTGTTTCACAGCCTAAAGATTTTAATGTTATTTTCTTAGGTTTTAAGAACAAAATTTGTGTTCATATTACCATTATACCATGAAAATATGCATAAAGGAATCATGGAGCCCAAAAAATATATGATTTGAAAACTATCGCATTTTATAGATCGTTCAGTAAACTACTTTAAAAGGGTTGCGCTAACTAATTAGGCAATTTGACTTTGAATATATTTCATAATTTCCAACTGTTATTATATTTGACTTTTGAATTTTCGATAGAGATACAAAGCTATAAGAAAATTAAATTCTATTTTTTTTTACATCTGTGAGGATTATTTAGAATTTTTAATTTTACAGACTGAAGTGTTTTAACTTAATTACCTAGTCTTGGAGAATAAAATTTCTGGTTATATTATAAAAACTCCATGAAAATATGCATAGAGGATCGTATAATTCAAATAATTTGATTGAATAAAATTATTGCTTAATTTACCGACCAATAAGTAAACTAGTGTGTAAGGACATTGAAATCTATCTGAATCATTCAAAAATACCTATTTAACAGACAAAAGATACTTATATAACGTTAAAATTTAAATATAAATGAAAATAACTTACAGCAATAAGACTTTCTAAAATTATTAGTACTTATAACAACAATAGTAGGTGTAACAGCAAAAACTCAAAATGTAATAAAATTATTATTAAAAACACAGTTACACAATAACTTTAAAAAAATATTTGGTAATTCGTTTTAAAAATTAAAAAAAAATTATCAACTAACAATTAATTAATTAAATAAATACAAAATAAAAAGTTGAGATTGTTTATGTGAAACTTTGACAACACCTTAGATAAAAAAAAGATGCTGTTATACTAAAGCTTATCTCTTGGCTTTTAGTGAATGATTAGAAAGAGCAAGTTTTAATAACGAAACAACCTAATAATCATTTTTAACGGTAAATACCAGCGAGAAGGTAAGCCAAGTTGTCTATCAGCACAAAACATCACAACAATAACATCACAATCATAAAACATACAGAATTTGCAGCATTTATTGCCTTGTGGCACTAAATGCAACAAATTCACACTAGTGTCAATACTTAGCTAACAAAGTTAACTTCTATCCTCAGCCCTTTACCGTTTCTAAGCAACATTAATGATCATCATGAAAAGCTCACAGGTGAAAAGCAACACTAATGCCCATCCTGAAAAGCAGGTGGCCTTATTTTTTGATGACATAAGAAATATGGATTTGAATCATCTTGTTTTGGAGTTGACCTATTAACTGTTGTTACAGAAAGGTTTGAAACTATAATTAGATAGAGGCGATGAGGCTCATTTTATTGCTCTGGATGATGTGGTGCATCTGGCGAAGTCTTTAAAAAGTCTTTGCTATCTTATTGATATTCCTATTACCGATAAATGGCAAGATTCTTACTGTGTTCTCTACTTGACATTGCCTCTGAGTTTTTAGTTTTTAAAATTAAATTTTGAGTTTTTAAAAAATAATTAACTGAGTCATTTGTTAAAGGGTTGCATACAATAGCAGTTAAGGTAATATAACATGAAAAAACATCATTAGCAACGTTTAACCCTAAATCATAAGATATAAAATCAGTTACTTGATTTGCAGGCCAATGCTACTCGCACGGCCGCCGTGTTCCAATTCTATAAATGCTACTCGCACAGCCGCGAAATCCAATCTTGCAATCATTATTTGAGTGACTTCCAGATGATAGATTTTCTTCACACTTTGCATACATACTCTTGCTTGATGACAAAACAATATTCAGTAATTAGCGTAACTTAATTGTATAAAGCATTAAATTCGTTCAAATCATTAAAATCATTCAATTTTTCCTCAATGTTTTTTTTTTGTTTTTTCACAGATGCATACAGTTGAATGTTAATGAAATAAAATAGTAATATTAGAAAAAATTTATTGAAAAAAGAAAAAAAGTTTTCAGAAAAAATTGATTGCAAAGTTTGCGTTTTAACAACATATAAAAGCATTAGGTTTTAAAAACTCTTTTTAAATTTTACTTGTTCTTTTCGTGTTATTTTAGAATGGCAAAGAATTCTATTTAATCGTCAAAGCTGTCATTTTCTTTCAGATCTTCCATTTCAGCTTTCAATTTGTTTGTTGCACCTATTAATTAATTCTAATTGTTTAATATGTACTACACGGTTACGGTTCAGTCCTATTTTAAACTCTGCAAATTTGACCGTGCAAACACCTTTTCTTAAGTGTTTATACAACGGCTGTGCCAATACTCTTTTTTAGAAGTTGTACAAGGCAGCCGTGCCAAAAGACACTATCTGATTTGGAACAACTTCACTATTGTGGATAGGAGTAGGGATAGAACAATTAACAAAAGGTAGCAAATCACTAACATTTAGAACTTCAGGATAAAAGAAAAGAACGTAGCTTAAATAGAAATTCTTTAAATGAAATTTTTTTGTCAGGTTCAATTTTGTAACATAGTCTTTTGATTTTTAAGGCACTTAGCAAGCATTACTTTAGTTAAAGGGTATTTAAATTAATTTGTAAAGAATTCTTACAGATGGCCATTTAATGTCATGTTCATTTTTTTCTCTGTTCATCTTTTTCTCATCTTATAAAAAGTGGTATTTCTTAATACAAAATTCAAGTATTTGAGGGAAACAAAACCACCTTCAATATTTAAAAATTCCAATATATTCTTGGCGGTATCAAATGGTTAGAAAAAAAGTAAATAAGTAACAACAAAAAAACGAATCCCGAATATATTTTTTTTAAGAAAAAACTAATCGCGAATGTGACAAAAACAATCGCAATTCGCGATCGCAATACGCTTAGTTCGAGCCCTGTATAATATATGAGGTACTACATTTGATATAACGTAGTACCTCATATAATCAAGCCCTGTATCATATATGAGCTACTACATTTGACGAACCGGAATCCCGTTCCATTTCGTCAAATCGTCTTCTCAGTATTATCTCTTTCTATCTACAGATGTAATAAATAAAATGCTCTATCTAATATATAAAATAGACCCAAAAAAAATTATTATATATATAAATAAATACAACGCTTTATGTATTCTAAAATAATTTTTTATATTAGGTAAAACATTTTATTTAAATATATATCTATACATTTTTTTTTTGTATTTTTTTTATATATTAGATAGAACATTTTATTTATTACATTTGTAGATAGAACAAGATAATACTGAGGGGACGAAAAGTATCGGTATCATCGTTCCGTTTTGTTTAGATATACGGGAACGCATCAGAACACGATTCGTCACACTCACGTGAAATTTTAGTATTGTTAGAGATATAACTGTTGAATATTAAATTTTACAATAATTAATGTTTTTATGCAAAGTATTTCAGACTTTCGTTGTCTGTAACTCCACCCTCTGTTTGGCAGAGGATTTAAGGATTTAAGGATTTAAGGATATCGATTACATTTATTTTTAAAGAAATTTAAGTTTTCTAAAGCAACAACATAACATTTTTTTAACTTATTTACTTATTTTCGAATTTTTAACCGTTGGGTTAAAATTTATAAATAACGGCTCATCTCTTGACTTGAGCTTTCAAGCACAGCACTGCACTGAAAACTGAAAAGAAACAAAAAGACAAAAAGCAAGTCAAAGTAACACACCAAATAGAAAAAAAAAGATTTGTTAAAAGAAAAAATAGTTCAAAAAATGTAAAAAAAATGTAAAAAAAAACAAAATGAACTTTGTTAGTCTACAAGAAACAATATTGTCATTGTAGAGTATTTAGTATAAATAAATTTATGTTGAATAAATTGTATTCCTTAAGATATTTCATTTTCAAAATGGTTTCAATCATATCTTTAGCTTATTTACTTCCAAAGATATGGATGTTTTAATATTTTCAATATTCGGACTTTTTGTGCTTTAGATATTCGTTTAGCGTCCAACCGTAAACAACAATTCTGCCCATTAATAATAAATTTATAATAAACTCATTAAAAAAATGTTAAAAGTTGCTGTCCGTCATAGAATTTAGAACAACTGTTCTTACTTCAATACTTAAATCAGTTCTTTCAAAATGTATATAATTTAGACGTTCTGTGTTATTTGATTAAACAACACAATAGAACTTTGTGTTTTATCATAAAAAATTTTCTAATTAGCAACTATAATAAAAAAATTTAATTATGCTACTTTTCAGCCAGTTTTTTAGCTTAGACTTTGTAACATGAACCCTCGGTTCCAATATAATACAACACTGATGACAATCTTTTACCAATTTCACAAAATGCAACAGCATTAGAATTTATGTCAAATCGGTACCAAACACACTTTTTATGTGCCTTAAAGTTCATTTTTGCAATTAAACAAGTAATTAAAGTTGTTGAACAAAACACGATTTCTCGTTAACAACCATTACAAAATAATTTTAATTCAATCCCTAGGTCTTTTACTTTTTTTGAAGAATTAAACTGTTAATTTACAATTATAATTTCATGAACCAACCTCAGTGACTATGTTTACCAGGTTATAATACAAACTAAAAAACATTGTTTTAAAATGAGCAAGTATAAAAAAAGATAAAAATAAAAAAACTTTATTTAGAAATGTTTATTTCAAGCGTATTTTTAAAAATTGTCTGATGTTTGTTCAATGTTGTTAATGCTTTGCATTCTACATTGAACTGATTGTACTAAAAGAAGAGTATCTCCAGGAATTACATTTTCTGAATATCTATTTTTAACTTTCTTTTTAACCAGCACTAAAAATTTTATATTCAATCTATGATTAATAGATTGAACTAGTGCTTGAAATTAAAATTTTACGAAACGGAACGCTAGTCAAGAATATTGGAGGTTACAAATTTCAGAGGAAAATGAAAACGTTTAATGAAAAAAATTAAATTAGTTGTGATAAATTCGTGTATCAATACTGACACTGTCACACTGTCAATCAACATAATGTACAAAATTAGATTTGTAAAATTACAATTTGTCAAATAAAAACTTGAAAAAGTTGTAAAATAAATTGGAAACTGTTAAGTGTTTATTTAATCAATCTTTGTCTGTTCCACCAATTTTATAGTATTTTCCACAAGAATTCATTGGTGGTGTCTTCTTTCTTCTCGCGTTTACGTCTTGCCGTGTCGTCAGCTGAATGCCAGTTTTTGCACAACCATGATTGCACGTAAGTCTGTGCATTAAATTTTGACAGAGGAGAACCAGCGCAACTGATAAATAACAGTGCTGCAATTGTTTAGATGTTTAAACTTACCCGAATTAATGACACAATTTCATTCAAGGAACTGAAATTTCGTTTGCATTTACTTGTTTATATTGGTATAGTAGCTATGACCTTGAAAAGAGGATGTAAATCTTCAGGTGTTTCTCTTTCTCCTTTCTCTTCATTTAATTTGTCTGAAGCCACGAATAATACTTGGCTTGTCCAAATGAAATTTGTGACATAACTAGCGAAAGTTATTGTCCCCGTACTAAATGTCAATTTCATCTTGTGTTGTCATTATCCATTACTTTGGATCCAGCACTTTAAAATTTCTAACAGGTGATTATTAGTACTGACATTTTCTAGACGATGATTTTCATCACAACTAACATGCCAGGAACTTGTGGTTATCATACGTGTTCTTAAGTTATTTGCCAAACTTCTGAAAAGTTGCGCATTATTAACGGTTGTAACAATACCATCATGAAGTGGTACTCCTTTGTGTTCTTTTTCATTAATAGCATTTATTGGACTAAATAATTTATGGCCAGGCTTTTCAGCCATGGAATCCATCACTGGAATTGTGGTCCTTATAGCTTTATCAGCTTCTAAAATTGTAATATTTCACCGTTGCAAAACAGTGGAAAATCCCCCAATTCATCTAAAGCATCTGACATTGCGTTTAAGTTTCTGACAAACTCCATATTTATGTCGTTTTTCTGAAACTGTTGTGTTTGCTTTTTTCTTTTCCATCTCTGACCGGATCATTTGATGCTTTGTTGAAATGTTCACACAGTGCAGCGTAGTTAGATATGACGCTATTAATGCTTATATATGCTTGATGCAACCCAACTAGTTGACAAAATTCTTCCAATTTTCAAGATTTGTGCCTCTTATGAACTGGCTACCTGGCGCAGTACATTTTGATTTTTTGGAGATTGATGATATAAGGCATATAGTGTGTGTGGTAGATTCATCGATTAAGATGGATATCTTTTTCTTTGAAGAAAAAATATCTCTGCAGATATTTGTTTTCATTTCTGAAGCAATATGAAAAGCAATCTCAGCACACGTTTTATTGGAATACAGAATTTGCCCGATAGAAATTCCATTAAAAAACTTTATGTTAACTTGTTGTGGTAAATCTGTGAAGGGCCTCTGACTTTTTGTAACGCTTCGCAACAGCTCTAAATACTCTTTCAGTCGAATCAACATCCCAGTGGGAAAAAAGACATCTTTAGACGAATAAAAGGCGTCTTTTTTATGACTTGTTATATTTTTTTTATAATCAGCCTAAATGAAGATGTGGAAAGACGTCTTTTAAAAAGACGTCTTTCTATATATATATATATATATATATATATATATATATATATATATATATATATATATATATATATATATATATATATATATATATATATATATATATATATATATATATATATATATATATATATATATATATATATATATATATATATATATATATATATATATATATATATATATATATATATATATATATATATATTATATATATATATATATATATATATATATATATATATATATATATATATATATATATATATATATATATATATATATATATATATATATATATATATATATATATACTGAAATAATTATACAATTGCAGCTGTTTAGCTAAAAATTGTTAATCAGAAGAAGCAAAGGTGTATGGCGTGGTGCCAGTAAGATGGTATCGATACAATCTAGTCTCAATTAAGTTTATCGCAGGTAAGGGTTTTAAAAAGTTTTACCGTTTATTTTTAAACTAATTTTTTAATGTATTATGCTTGAAGAACGTTGTTAATTACATATTAAATTATAGTATTTATTTTCAGACGAAAAATAAAACCTGTAAACAATTTCTCTCTATATTTACTTGTTCAAGTGCCAGTAAAACGAACGATAGAAAAAAAGAAGCATTCAGTAGACTTGCATTTTTTTTTATATATTTTTAGATGATCTAAATAATTTTGTTGTTTTCATTTAGTTGAATGATGAAAATTTTTATACAAAATATTGGCTCTTTAACGTTTATGTTTTATATTTTAATTCCCTGTTAACTGTTGTCTGTCATTAACAAAGCAGTTATATAAATACACATAATGACAACAGACTTATCTTTAGAACTGTTCGCAATATTTTTGGTTTGGATTCAAAAAACCAAACTGGAAAGGTACACTTTCTTATGTCTAAACATCATTGCAGCTTTCTAGTACATTTTTGTTTATGTGTATATTATCTGTGTTGCTAATGATATTGCCAGTTTTTATGATTTTATGTTGTTAAGTAAAGCATCCTTATGTTTCAGGCTAAATTTGTGCTATGACGAATACTTTTTTCCAGTTTAAATGAATAAAAACTCTCAAGGTGTATTAGCTGAATATTTTTTTTGTTTTGATATTCTTTAGTTAATAACGGATTTTTAAATTGCTATGAGTCTACAACACTTAATTTCAGCGAAATTCAATTAAAAAGTTATGTTATAGAAGACCGAAAAATATTAATATCTGTTTTCAATAACTTGGCTTTTATAGCAAATCTGAGAGGTGCAAATGTTTAGCTTGATTTAAGTACTACATAATATAATAGTTCGTTGTACAGTCATTTTGATGGTTGTAAATTTATTTAACATACTCAATTTTATATATTTTCAGACTGTTTACTGTTTGACTTCTGTCCCAATCTTACCTAGTGGGTTCAAAATAAAAGAACCGCGCTGGAAACATGAGTGAAATAAAAGGATCAACCCCTTTTGATTTAATAGTCGGTAAGTATAATGTGCTCCACTCAGCTAATCAAGTTTTGTTTGCTTATTTTGTATTACATTTAAGCAATAGACAGTTTTTTATGTTAACTTGATTTTTAGAAGTGGTAACCAGCAAGAAGTCGTAACCTGCTCGTATAAAAGGATTTCTCGACGTGAAATTGTTAATGTTATTTAACAACGCCAAGAAACAGAGCTCGCTCAAGAAACAGAAAAGAAAGAGAAAGATGAAAAAATATTCTGTTGAACAATACTGTTGTTTTATTTAAAAACTATTCTCCTATATTTAAACATATAAAAGATGTAGAAAATGCTTCCTCTTTTATATTGACATCTAAAAGAGGTTTTTTTCTCGGCATCGGAAAAAGCTTTTTGTCATACTTTGTATGAAGAGCTACTATCATTTTTATTTAATAAAAACAGCTTTTTATATATGAAAAGTAGTAATACTATAGTGTATATGATACTATAGTATACTAATAAGTATAGCAAAAAAGTTGTTCCGACCCCAAGAAAAAACTTCTTTTTTAGAAGTGCATAATTGATAAACAAAGACGTCTTAAAGACGCACTTTTTATGTCTTTTCATGACAAGATCAAAAACAAAAAAGACGCACTTTCGATGTCGAAAAAAGATTTCGTTTAGATTTGCATATTTGACCAAAAAAATCGTTTTAAAGACGCATTTTTTATGTCTTTTCATGTCAAGATTAAGATAAAAAAAGACGTCTTTTCGATGTCGAAAAAAGATGTCTTTTAGATTTGCATAATTGATTAAAAAAAGACGTCTTAAAGACATCGTAAGTAAGACTTTAAAAGACGTCTTTTCGATGTCGAAAAAAGATGTCTTTTAGATTTGCATAATTGATTAAAAAAAGACGTCTTAAAGACATCGTAAGTAAGACTTTAAAAGACGTCTTTTCGACGTCTTTTTCCCACTAGGATTTGTCTAATTTTTTCAATTTGAGTGTCAATTTGTTATTTAGCATTCTGTTCTGCTAGTTCAAGTGCTTTGAGGTAAGCATCATTTTTCCTGTGTTTAAATACTTTTTTCCTCAAACTAGACTGTTGAGTTTCTTCGGTGTTACCGTTCGGTATTACAGAACACTCATGCCATGATTTAGAAACTCTTTGATTTTTATCAGCAAAAATTCCGATTTTGTTTGATTTGCATACTGAGCAAATCAAACCTTTATTTTTTACAATCAGCCAGTAGTTATTCCTTTTTTAAATTTTACACTGACTTTTGTTCCAACAGCTTGGAAAATCGTTGTCATCGTCACTTGACGACATCAATGTTATAGACGTATTTACGGTATTTTCAGAAACGAATTCACCTTTGTCTTCTTGAACTTCTTTAAAACGTTTAGCAATAACATCAATTACTTGCGTTGAGCTGCTTGAACACTGGCTTTCCGCGGTTTCCAGACTTTCCGTAACGGCTAATTCTCTTTTTTTGGAAGGAGAATCCAGACAATCGATGCTATCACTTGATCGTTTTTTTAACCAATTCACTAAACTCATGATGGTTAATTGCATAATATTTTTATTTTATTTTATATTGGATTTTAATGATACTTATTTAAAAGAAACATTTTTAATTAAACAAATAATTTAATATAAATTTATTTTCTTATTTTTCGAAAAGTCGTGGAACGGCCAGATAAAATGACAACAAACCATATATAATTATATTATAATCGGGATGAATCAATCAATTGAATAATCTGGATATAAACTAATATAAAGTAAAAACTAATATAAAGTAAAAACTAATATAAAGTAAAAACTAATATAAAGTAAAAACTAATATAAAGTAAAAACTAATATAAAGTAAAAACTAATATAAAGTAAAAACTAATATAAAGTAAAAACTAATATAAAGTAAAAACTAATATAAAGTAAAAACTAATATAAAGTAAAAGCCTCTTTAAAAAAATAAAATATATTATATAGTTATGATAATAATAAAAATAGCAGTATTTTAACAATAACAACAATAATAAAAGTAATTAGTTATACAATAAGAAGAATAACAATAATAATATTACCAGTAAGTATGACACCCAATAATAATGATTAAAATAAAAGCACGATAATAATAAATACAACACATATATAGCGGAAATATTAAATAAGTATTTAATAAAAGGCTGTCCATTAATTACGTCAACAAAAATTATAAAAACCAGTAACTAAAAGAATTAAATCAATACAATCTTCCATACAACAATCAATTATATATACATAGTTACAGTTATAAACAGTAATAAACTGTCAAAACGTAACTAATAAAGATGACATAAAAACGTTTTTATGTCATCTTTATTAGTTACGTTTTGTCAGTTTATTACTGTTTATAACTGTAACTATGTATATATAATTGATTGTTGTATGGAAGATTGTATTGATTTAATTCTTTTAGTTACTGGTTTTTAAATTTTTTGTTGACGTAATTAATGGACAGCCTTTTATTAAATACTTATTTAATATTTCCGCTATATATGTGTTGTATTTATTATTATCGTGCTTTTATCCATAAAAGACTTAATAAAAAAATAATCTTAACTTTTATAATACAGTAACAAAAATATATTGTAAGTATAATAAACAAATAAAGAAAATACAAACAGAAAAGCACTTATTATACATAAAATTAAGATTTATAAAAGTAAAAAATGCATTAAATTCATACACAACATATAAATATAACAATAAAAATACACATCAGTGTAAACAATGTATTCACTAAACAAAAATTAAAAGTTTTTTATTGCTCTTTTCTTTCAATGGCATTATTGTTTTTTTTTTTAACTTTACATTTTCGAACTATTTTTTCTTTTAACGAATCCTTTTTTTTCTATTTGGTAAGTTATTATGACTTGCTTTTTATCTTTATGTTTGTTTTCAGTTTTCAGAGCACTGCTGTGCATGAGTACTCAAGTCAAGAGATAAACCGTTATTTATAAATTTTAACCAAACGGTTTAAAATTCAAAAATAAGTAAATAAATTTAAAAAAATGTTATGTTGTTGCTTTAGAAAACTTAAACTACATTAAAAATGAGTATAATCGATATCCCTAAATCCTCTGCTAAACAGATGGTGGCGTTACAGACGACGAAAGTCTAAAACCATTTGCATAAAAACGTTCCGGTACATTCCGGTCCGTTTCGAGCTCTGGGAATGCAGGAAGGCTATTAGTACCAAAGCTTTCTTCAGTGACAAAAGTTGTTTTAAAGAGAATAGAGATTTCACTCTTAATGAAAATAAAAAATGAATCAGCTTTTGAAAATTTGAGAGCATGATTTTGTTTTGTTGACTGTTTTGAAAAGTAATAAAAAGTTATTAAATAAATTTGATACATCAATTGGATTTGCGTCAAAGTTTTCTATCAAATTAAGTTGGAGAATTGACCAATACTGAGATTAATTTGAGTTTAGCTGTCCCATTTTATGACTTTGATTGTTGATGGTTTAATTCGTAAAGATTTCAATAGTCACATGGTTAACTTGGGCATTTACATTCATAAAATTTCACCCATTTGTAGATAAAGTAGGTTTGAATCTGCAGACTAATCTTTTATGTTCTTTTGTTTAGCACTTCTTCACTCTTTCAGTTTTATCGTTGGATTATATTGCTCTCATTTGTCTCAAGATTGTACACTTTTTGATGAAAAAATTGACCGAAACCTTTCTCTTTATCCTTTAGCCAAAATCGTTGTTGTTGACTTTATTTTTTATGACACTGAATGACTTGGCTCTAGTGTCATTGATTCTGAAGTTGTTTAAGAACCACTACGTTTTTCTCAATCTCTAACTGAAATATTCAACTTTCCAATTCAATTTCCAGACAATTTAAATAGTTTTTCTTCTCTACTTGACTTATGTCTTGCTTCTGATTCTAATCAGTACTCAGTTTTTCCTCATTCACCCTTAGGTGCTTCTAATCACGGTTTATTCTCTCTAAAACAATTATCTCATATAACAGTTTTTATAAGATCAAACAAGAGGTACAATGATAGTGGAATTCTAATGATGATTACAATTTCACTATTATTGTACCTCTTACAACTATCTTAAAGCTGACTGGGACTCTTTCCGTTATTTTTTACGTAAAAGCCATTGGTTAGAAATCGTTCGTCTTACTGCTGTAAATGTGCTTCTTACAAAACTTCTTGGATTAAGGCTAGCATGGAATCTTTTATTCTATCTCGACAATTCCAAGTCAATCCTCACACTTCTTCGTGATTTTTATCTCATTTTGCTGCTGCAGTTTCCAATCAAAACCATTACTCTCATATTATTCAGCAAAACAATTCTCTAGAAAAAATACTTTTGCTATTTTACTATTCCTAGAAACCATTGTAAAAAGGTTTTGTCGGACGCCGTAGCACGCTATATTCAGATTACGAAATCTCGTGTTTTATCTCAAAAATTAGGACCTTGTGACTTCTGGAGTATCTTTAACAGTATTTGTAGTAAGAGTAAATGACAGATTAGATGTTGTTAATTAAAGACTCAAAAAAGATTTTTAGTCTTTAATTAACAACATCTTTTCTCTCATTTTGAATCTAAAAACTTACTTTCTAATCATCAACATGGATTTCAATTTTCTCGTTCTTCTACTTATTTGTTAACGGTAATAAACAATAGATTTGATCGTGCATTAGATAGATGTGGAGAAGTTACGGCTATTGCCCTCAACATTTTTAAAAACTTTGATAACGTTTTGCATTTCAGTATTCTCTAGAAACTCTCTTCTTACGGTGTATTAGGTAACATCTTTGAGAATATTAAATCCTTCTTTACCAATCGTTGTATAAAAGTTGTTCTCAATGAACAGCGCTATTCTTCATTTCCTGGGAGCATGTGAGCTTGAAAAGGATCTCACTTCTGCTACAGCATGGGGCACCTGGTGGCTGGTTAAAAAATAAAATATAATCACAAATGTATAAATAGTAAACAGACCGGGACTCAAAGAAGATATGGATGGCAAAATAACAAACTAATTTTTTCATAGAGCTTCTACAGATCATAACAATATTAGTAAAATATGGTTAATAAATCGAGTAGAAAATTTAGGAAAAAAAAGAAATACAAGTCTTTTAGTCAGAATTTCTTATTTTTTTTTTTAGTGGCGCTTATTACTGACAATGCAGAGTCATTTTTATATCAATGTGGTGCTGTTTTATTTTATATTGTGCCAAAATGAATAAAAGTCTCTTTTTTTTTAATACAAGGTTTACTATTTAACTGATGTTCAAGTAAAAAAATTAAACGAAAAAGCAA